TTTCACTTTAATTAAAATTTTGTCATTTTGGACTATGATAAATATGGACAAAATAATATTTCAGTACCACGATGCATATGTTATAAATTTCTTTAAACAACATTTCTCAAAAAAATCACACCACACACACCACAACCCACACCTCACCACACCACACCAAACAACCGACCACCAGCTCAACTGCTGCGGTGCCTCCAACTACATGGACTTCCAGGACAATCTTGAAGTTACCAATAAGTGGCCACGGAATAAAACCTTCTCCATAAAAGTGCAAAACGATGAAAATTTTGAAAATTTAACTTTTTTGGGTACGAAACAAATGCCCCTCGCTTGTTGTAAAAACATGGCAGAATTCCCGAAAATGTACTATAACGACACGAAGTGTATGGCCGACAACAGCACAAACAACAATAACAATCTGGTATGTGTGCGTTTTGTCAAAATTATGTTTGTTTGTGTGTCTTTGAATGTTTTTGTGAGTTTCTGTTTACTTTAACGAAAGTTTGTGTGGTTGCTCATAAAAACCGACCGAAGACCGACCGACCAACTAATTGACCAATCAACCGACCAACCAACTAACCGATCAACCAACCAACCGACCGACCGACCGACCGACCGACCGACCAACCAACCAACCAATTAACCAACTATCAAATAAATAGGGATGCACAGAAGCGATCATGAATGAGATCAAGAAGTCGAAAAGTGAATCGCTCACAATATTTCTGTTTGCTCTCTTCTTACAAGTAACCAACGCTGATTGATTAAATAATTGATTAATTACTGATTGACTGAAATTTATTTATTCATTAGCTTTTGTCTTTATATTCTCAAATTCAATTCTAATTTCTATGCACGATTCTACATATGACAAGTCACAAGGTGGAAAAGAGACAGAATGAGAGAGATGACATATTATTCATTCTAACATTTTGATTAAACAAAAATTTATATTTAAATTTTTCTGGTGGCTAAACTAAACATAACTTTGACAGATAATCCTGTTGATTATGGTCATCGTCATAATCCAGGAGAACAAGGTGTTTGGGAAGGATTAGTAGTCATAAAATCACGAGACTACTTTCCATTTCGTGTTGTTGCGGGACGTCGTCGTGTATCTCATGTTGTTGTTGTGTGTTCGGATGTTTGTTATGGTTGTGTGTGTGTGAGTAGTGTCGTTGTATACTGTTCGCGCGCATGTGATGGATGCATTGTATTCGTTGATATGCAAAAATACACAATCATTCAATTACAATTTTTAAGATGTTTAAATATTTTTCTGTGAACTTCGCTCTTCTTTCATTTTCTTTATTTAGTTGGCACGCCACAAACGTTAATTATTCCATTTTTCATCAGGTAAATTTTTAAATTCCATTTCACATTATCACCTTTTCCATATAACCCCCAAGCACATCTCAATGATTTTTTTTTTTCATAACTTTGCAAATTTACGAATCAAAAACTTGAACAAAATTCATCTGCTAGAAACATTTTGTGGATCTATCAAATTTCAAAATGAAATTTTTTTTTCTTGCAAAAATGAATTAAGATAACGTTAATTTATGCTGTAAGCTGATCGCATTCGTTTGTGTTACTGGCTTATTTTAAGTTACACGAATGATCGACTGAATGAAGAAATGGATGGATGAATGAGAGAATGAATTAATGAACAAACATTTGAATAGATACACACGTCCTTTTTCGATGAACGTATTCCAATATTTTTCAATGGTTATAAATCAATAAATCATTAGTATTTAACCTTGAACTGTACAGATACTTGATACACACACACACACACACACACACACACACACACACACACACACACAAACACACAGATACGTTATACACAAACACACACACGTCCTAATGTCCATCGATTTTAGGGTGTTAAGGTTTCTGATTATTTTTCATTCGCCATATGCTTTCATTAAGTTACTTAACAACTAGACAAATACATATTTATTTTTGTGAAATATTTTTTTTTATTTATTCATCCATTCATTAAATCATTCGTTCATTCATTCATCTCAGAGATACATGCATTCACAACCACAGCACAGAAGGAACATAACTAGTGAAATAGAACATTGAGACTTGTCATCATCTCAAAAACAACTTGCCAACAAATTTATTTCTTGTGTTCCTAGAAAGCGCCAAAAAGAGTGAGCTCCCTAGACACGTATGCAGCCATTAAACATAACAAAAATTAATAAAATTGACTCAGATTCACTGGTTTTCATGGCAATTTGAGAGTCTTGCCAACCATTATCATCAATCATCATCATAAGAAGAAGAAACATATGGTTCAGATTTACTAGGTTTTATGGCATTTTTACGGTGCCTGGCTAACAATTATCATCATCATCACCAGAATAATAAGAGAAATAATAATGAAAATAATAGTAATGATGATGAAGCCGACGCCAGATGCATAGGCATTTCAGCCAGGCTTGCACCGCCACTGAAAGTAAAAATAGCGTGACAATAAACCTTTCACCAAATTATTATCACAACTATTTCTGACCTCCAAAAATCCAAACTACTTGCCACAACGCGTGCCTAGAAAGAGCCGAAGAGTGCGCGCTTCCTAGCCATGTCTGCAGCCAGTACACGTAAAAATAATATAACCGACTCAGAAACTGGTTTCGTGGCAATTTTCAACCTGCCTAGCTAACCATGATCATCATTACCATAATAATAATAGTAAAAGATGAAGAATAGTAAAAATAAAATATAGAAGAAAAACAATTTTTTCACGTTCCTGGACACGTCAGCCATAATAATAATAAGAAAAATAATAAAAGGATTCAGATTCATAATCTTCATCATCCAAATAATAACAAGAAAAAATATGATTCACTATTTTCGATCATCATCAAAATGATAATAATAATAAAAAATAATAAAAATTATTATTATTGATTAAATGTACGGCAAGGTAGACGTACTTAAGTTTCACCGAAAGCCGGTGCGCACATACATTTCCGCCGAGCCTGTCAATTTTGGCAGCCATCATGGACGAGATTCTCATAGAAAGAGAACCCCGCAGTGATGAACGGCTGCCGTTCACCAAACTTCCTTCCACCATCAGCCAGCCAGCGGCCAGTTTTCCCAGCCGCCCCGTTCTACGTATCGGTAGCGTTCCTATGTAACACCCGTCGTCACATGCAGCAAAGCCGACGCCGGATGCAGAGCATCTCAGCCAGGCTAGCATTCACTGCCACTGAAAGAACAAAACTAATGTGATCAATCACAACCATTTTTGATCTCCCAAAAAACTTGCCAACTGCTTACTCCCCGTGTGCCTAGGAAGCGCCGAAGAGAGCGCGCTTTCTAGGCACGTACGCAACCATCAAACATGTTAAAAGATGAAAGTTTGACTCAGATCAACTGGCTTTATAGCAATTATGCTAACCAGTATTATCATCATCGTCACAATAATAATAATTATTATTGATGTTATGTACGGAAAGGCCGACGTACTTAAGTTTCACCGAAAGCCGGTGCGCACATACATTTCCGCCGAGCCCTGCCCACCTCAATTTTGGCAGCCATCATCGGCGAGGTTCTCATAGAAAATGAACCCCGCAGTGATGAACCTGCCGTCTACCCCTAACCCTAACCGCGCAACTCAATATAACTCTATATAGCCGCGCAACTTTATATAGCCGCGCAACTCTATATAACTCTATATAGCCGCGCAACTCTATATAACTCTATATAGCCGCGCAACTCTATATAGCCGCGCAACTTTATATAGCCGCAAAAATCTAAATAACTCTATATAACCGTGCAATTTTATATAGCCGCAAAAATCTATATAACTCCATATAACTGCGCAACTCTATATAGCCGCAAAAATCTATAACTCTATATAACCGCGCAACTCTATATAACTCTATATAACCGCGCAACTCTATATAGCCGTAAAAATCTATATAACTCTATATAACCGCGCAACTCTATATAACTCTATATAATCGCGCAACTCTATATAACTTTATATAGCCGCGCAACTCTATATAACCGCGAAACTCTATATAGCCGCAAAAATCTATATAACTCTATATAGCCGCGCAACTCTATATAGCCGCGCAACTCTATATAGCCGCGCAACTCTATATAGCCGCGCAACTCTATATAGCCGCGCAACTCTATATAACCGCGCACCTCTATATAACTCTATATAGCCGCGCAATTCTATATAACTCTATATCACCACGCAAATCTATATAACCACGAGCGTTACTCCTAGCCAAGTAAGCTAAGCCATCCTCATTTTGGTACAGATGTACCTGTTTAATTGTGTGTAATGTTTGGATGTGTGGAAGATTTGGGTGCGTGTTTGTTTTATTTGTGTGCGTGTTTGTTTGTGTGTGTGATGGCGATGTGAAACAAAAAAAAACACATAATAATCAGTAAGTAAAAAGTAGCAATAGTAAAAATCACCCGCTCAGATAAGTAAGTCCTTGGATAAGAAAAATAGAAAAAAGTTGAAAAGTTGAAGACAAACATAACAACAACAGCTAACAAATGAATGTATTGTAGTTGTGTGTGTGTGTGTGTGTGTGTGTGTGTGTGCAGAGGCGTAGCTAGGGGGGCCAGTATATGTTCTCGGGCGCCAAGTATAGAAGGCTAACAAAATTTTCACAACAAGAGTAAAAACCTTATCACAAGCAAAAAAAAATGAAAAAAATTATATATTTACCAAAAAAAAACTTTACAGATCGATGTAAACGATACGAATCAAAAATATGAAGTATTAATAAATGTCGTTATAAATTTTGACTTCCCATTTTTTAACACATAACAACGCTGCAATTGAAATAAAGAGCACCAACGCCACCTGTACACAGCGTTTCCATGTAAAATTTACTGTTTTGAATTTGGTTTAAAAGTAAACAAAGACGTAGAAACGGTTTAAACTCTTTTAAAGTACAGTAAGCTGTATTTTACAAAGTATTACTGAATATTGCAGATTTGAATAACGTAACTGATCAACCAGAAAAATAAATCTATCATAAACTATGTAAATTATATTTGACAATGACTGAATCATGTCATAATTTTATGTTTCATCTTTAAATACAATGTTCTATTAAAATTTGAATTGTTTTTGTAACCAGTAATTATTACAATGCTAATGTAATAAAAAATGTGATTAAACATGGAGAGGGGGGGCGCCAATTTTATAGTTTGTCTCCGGGCGAAAAATACCCTGGCTACGCCTCCGTGTGTGTGCGTGTGTGTGTATGTATGTGTGTGTATCTCAACCAACCTCAGAAATCTTCTCCACCGCCATCCAACCTCCATTGCACACCGATCATCATTTGACGATGACGACCTCCATCCCTTTGAGACCATTAGACCTGCTAGAAAAAAAATTTCTGACTGAATTCACCATCTTAAACGATGAAAATAATAGTTTCTGAATTTAATATAACAAATAAAAGTCAATTTCTGGATTTAATATTGAAAATGAAAAAAAAAATTAACAATTTTAACATTTGAGACGTAGCCCTTACTGACTCGTGCAGCACCGCCATCTTCCGAACGGCAGAGGATAAGTTGTGTTGTTGTGTTCCCCATCTGGTCTGACACTTGCAACAGATTCATCTCTCACGGATCAGGTAGGCAGACAGGGCGGGAAACACGGGAATGTTTTGGAAAAAAATAATTTTTAAAGTGTTATTAACATTAATATGTATGATGAAAATGACAAATTAAATAATTGTGTGTAATGTTTGTGTTCGTTTCTGAGTAATGTTGTGTTTGATTGTGTGTAATGTTGTGTTTGTTTATGCGTAATGTTGTGTTTGATTGTGTGTAAAGTTGTGTTTGTTTCTGTGTAATGTTATGTTTGATTGTGTGTAATGTTGTGTTTGTTTCTGTGTAATGTTGTGTTTGATTGTGTGTAATGTTTGCTGTGTGTAATGTTGTGTTTGCTGTGTGTTTGATTGTTTTGTTAGTGTGTGATGATGATGTGAAACAAAAACTAACACATAACAATCAATAAATGAGAAGTAGCAAGAATAGAAGTCACCTACCTACCATAAATTAACGCTTATGCCCTAGCTTACCTATAATAATTAGCTCAACTCAAATCTCACCTACTTATGATCAATTAACTCACCTTAGGCCCTAACTTACCTACTTTCAATTAAACTCAACTAACTATTGGCGTCAGTCCAGTAGAGAAAAAAAGTGGAAGAAAGTAGAAAACAAACATGACAATAACACCGAACAAATGAATGTATGCGTGTGTGTGTGTGTATGTATGTGTTGCTTGTGTGTAATGTTGTGTTTGTTTGTGTGTAATGTTTGCTGTGTATTGGATTGTGTGTAATGTTGTGTTTGTTTGTGTGTAATGTTTGCTGTGTGTTGGATTGTGTGTAATGTTGTGTTTGTTTGTGTGTAATGTTTGCTATGTGTTTGTTTGTGTGTAATGTTGTGTTTGTTTGTGTGTAATGTTAAATGATAAATAAATGAGTGGGCGAACGTAAAAAATAACTCTACCTCAGAAATGTTTTCGGCTGACGACTTCAATTTGAGACGCCTCACAGATTGGTCGAAAGCTACCCCACAGTCTGAATGAACTGAACCGTCGAGAAATATTAGAAAGCGATTTTTCATTCAAGATTTTTTCTGCGTACATTTCTGCCAGTTGGTATGTTGATAGGTTTAGTTTATTAATGCTTTTTTTAACGTATAAAAAACATAACGATACGACCTTAAAGGAAACGTTAAGCTAATATTAAAAATGCTCTTAAAGCCTTCCACCGAATATTATTATATCAGAACATAGAGCTTAACTATAGGCAGGGAACGACAGGAATATGAACTATCTAGTTCGCAACTATTTGGTTGGTTCAAGATACTGTACATCAAAAACGTTGGGATTTGTATTACCAAGTGAGCACATTTCTATCTCATACGCGTGTAAAGAAATTAATGACCATCCCTTTTTAGCTAACGTATAAATGTACAGTACACTGTTGGCATGCCAGCCAGCCAGCCAACCAGCCAACCAACACACATTTTATGTATTAATTACTGTAATGCTAGAAAAATATTACTACTACTACTGTTGCCACTACTGCTACTACTACTAACGCTTCTTCTACAGCTATTACTGCAACTGCAATTTTTGTAGTCAGGCAATTTTGTAGCAACTTGGTATTTTTATTTAAATGTATAAAATTTCAATAATGTCACTCTTATATTATTTCCTTGAGCCACAACCTTATTTAATATTTGTAGTTGGAATTAGATATCTACATCACATACATATATAATATATATATATAATTAATATGACTTGAAAATTTTATCTAAATACGAATATATATATATATATATATTCAAATTCAAATTACCTCTGTTGAGCAGCTGTGGTCGTTGCGGCTCGACTGTGGCCGTTGATGATCGACTGTGGTGGTCGTTCTTGATCAACTGAATGACGTTTCAGGTGAACGAAAACAAAAGGCAACTAAACTGACGTAACCAGATAATAAATTAAAATGAAAGAGCCAATATTTTTCAGTCTTTGGATGCAACTTTTAATGCGTTGAAAACACTTAACGAAGAAACTGATATTCCACATAAATTTAAATTTAACGTTTCGGCAGTTATAATTGTGAATTTGCGATCGTAGCGAGATAATGGCAGTCAAAT